GTCGGTGTGTGTGGTGGCCCCGCTCTGGTTTGAGGGTATGTAGACTGGTGCAGGGGCCAGGGGGAGGAGCTTAGTGCTGCCAACGGTCACAACATTTTGTTGGCATGGCGGAGCTGGAGACACCGAGGACTGAGGGACGACAAGCATCACCGTACCCTGAGCCACTGAAGGACCCATTAGAAGAGGCTGTGAGAAAGAGGTGGACTGGGAAAGGATGGGCTTCGTCCCAGTACTCTGCATTTGAACGTGTGTCTGAACAAAGGCAGAGATGATCCCAGTCTGCCCGTTCATGGGAAATACCTGGCACAGAACTGGACTGGTCATGTGAGACTGAGGCATGGATGAAGAGGCTTGTGATGCTGGAGTGGAGGGGCTTGTAGAGTTGGCTGAGGGGGCAGTGCTCTCCACTTCTGCAGTAGAATTTGTTGCACTAATGTATGTCCCTGTTTCAGTCAGGATGTTGATCTGGGCTTTAGAATCAGAGATGATCTCAGTCTGTTGGGCAGGGCTCTCTGATGAACCAGGACCCTCCTGTCCTGTGCTAATGTGATGATCCAGAGACGTGTCTGCAGTGTGTCGTATCACACTGGTGGCCCTGCATTGTGCACTAGGCTCAGGTGGAATGGGCTGAGGTGGAATGGAGTTTGGTAGGAATGTGCTGATGCCAGCCTGCAGGCCGCAGGGGGTTTCTGCTTTGTTGGTCAGGACAGGGCACATCCTGGGCAGTGAGACACTTGATTTAAGGCCCGAGCTGGCCAGAGGAGGCATGGTGCTGATGATAGCAGACGTGGTTGAGGTCTCAGCAAAGCTGGGGCTGTGTGGCGGTGTCATGCACTAGTAAGGTAGAAGAGAAGGTTAGCATGTGAACTTGGTCAATTTTATATTAGCAACACTTTTATTTCTTTTTCTAAAATGACCAGTTGTGTAAGAGCTCCACTTTCGGTTTTCTAATATTCTCAGTGACAGTATGCTGGTATAGCATGATAAGGAAATAATGAAATAATGTTACAATGTTACTTCATGCTGTACCGGTATAAATGATAATGCTACAAAATTGTTTTTTATGGAAGTACACAAAAACTAAGCACACATTTAATTTGTCATCAATTTATTAATTTATATAATTTATTATGGTGTTGGGGCGGGGTGTGTATATTGTAATACTCAAACCCATGACAGTTGCTTTTATGGTCATCATAACATTAATTTTTCTTTTTTTTTTGCCAGGTGTAATTCTCTCTTTTTTTTTTTTTTTTTTTTTTTTTTTTTTTTTTTTTTTTTTTTTTTTTTTTTTTTTTTTTTTTTTTTTTACAAATAATAATCATCATCATCGTCATTTCTGTACTTATCAGTAATTCAGGGTGTGAATATAACATCAAACAACAATCTAAATAAGTCTAAATATTTTTTAGCTGATTTAAACTCACTAGTGAAGAGAGAGACACTAGGTCTTTGGGGGACTCCAGGGTTTCGGGGTGTAGACTAAGCGAGTCACAAGAGTCTGAGGTTGGCGTAAGCGGGCGGGCTTTGTGTGACCTCTGAACCCAGGAGCTCATGCACACCAGAGCCTCAGCTGCCTCAAGGTCATGATACTCCAGAGTGGAGGAGCAGGGCTTCCCATCATTGTACCCGTTCCTCTCCATCATCAGCTCACAGATTCCCACGTAGTTGCTCTGGGGAAAAATCATTTGAGCAAAGCATGCTTATGATCAGAACAGTAGGGCTACACAAATAGGTGTTGTTACTGCATGGAATAGGCTTCTTATATACCAGCAATATTATTACACGTGATTATTAGGAAGAGACAAAAGCTTAAAGGTGGTTGTATTGTTACGTTTCATTTGTTGAACGGCCAGGGAATAGCGCGCCAGTGTCGGCTGTACCGCTGCAGACTTAACAACGTCATCAGTCTCTATTTCTGTATCCCGTACTTTCTACCAGTCAACTTGTACCTATTTTACTTATTGCTTTGGTCAGTCCCACTGACAGTGTTGAAAGTAGTCTGTGTAGCTGCTTATCAAGCATCTGCTGAATACTCAGCTGCACGTAGATGCTGCCATTCAGAGAGACAGAGACAGAGAGAGAGAGAGAGGGGCCCCAGTGTTTTAGCCCCTCCAGCTCTAGGTTTGCTGGGAACCTCCCATCGCCCAAAAATAGCCTTAAGAGTGACGTGCATCTAACCAAAACTCTGGTTAGTGAGGGTGGACACCCACATGAGGAAGTAAAATTCAGACTAGTCCTGCTTTTTTTTTCTTTACCTCAAACAAAGCCTCCACAAAAGAAGGGACACCTAATGCCATTTTAAAAAGCACACAGAGCAACGGGGCGTGATGTTATGAAAGTACAGCACCCGCCTCCACAGGCTACAGTTTCTGGACACAAATTGGTAATAATAATGTGGTTTAATTAAACAGCCACCTCCCCACTGGTTTCAAACAAGCATGCGAACTGGGCTCAGAGTATCTCAAAGAGCACTGCGTCTCATTACTAAAGGGCATGATGCACAACACTGATTGCGGCACATGCTTTTATTCTATTGAGTCTACCCTGTTTTTAATACAATGCATGAAAAATCATACAAAAACATGGATAAGTCCCATGACATGCATGCCATATATATCATCTCAGGTTCTATGATGAGCAATTGTGAATAAATATGTAAACATGACTATACCTGGTTTAATAGTCAATCACTCCAAGACTGCAGTAAATAATAATAATAATAATAATAATAATAATAATAATAATAATAATAATAAAACTTCAAACGTGCACAGGATTATTACAAAACATGCAACTTTGTTGCATAAAGATGCTTCAACTCATCACTACTACTGGGTCATTGCGCAAATCAGGTAAAGTGGCAAAGACGCAGTTAACCCTTTTCAATAAAAAAAAAAAAAAAAGAAAAGAAGCCAACTTACCTGGTCTGAAGCAAAGGTCGGCATGGGGAACAAAACACCCTGTAAACAGCAGTGCGAGCAAACAGAAAGCGCGACACAGGCGTTGAGCAGAGCCCGGGCTCATAAGTGTAACCACTTTTTACTGCAAGGTCCAACCTCAGCTGAGTGAATCAGGAACGGAGGAAGAAAAAAAAAAGCAGAAACAAAATTCAGAACGGTCTGGCGGGTGGTAACATGTTACCAATCAAAAACAAAGGTGTAGCAGAATTGGACCAATAGACGCGAAGACAGCGCGTGATCAGGACGTGATCGAGAGCTGATTGGTGGAGAGAGGGTGCGTGGCTGTTGGGGGGCGTAACGCAGGAGTCAGCGGTGTCAGAGTAAACCCGGTGAACCCGGCGCTCATGAACTGGGGGAAAGGTCGGAGCGGCGAGCGCGCGCGGAACACTGAGCTACTCCGCACGCGTCTGGCTCACTCTGACGCCAAAACAACAAGCAGGGAAACAAATCAGCATGTGCTAACGTTTAAACCATCGCACATTTAATAAAGGCTGTATGACAACCAAGTACATTAATGATTTAACCCATATTTCATAATGTCGATTCACAAACACTACTTCTATGACAAAGCAATGATTACTACCAAAACAGTGATTATTATTGATTCATAATTACGAATTATAGCCTATTAGTTTGATTGTGTCTAAATATAGTTGTTTTTTTTTTTTTTCCAAAATATGTTTTTTAATGCATTAGATTTAGTTTAGACTGCACATTTCTGACATCTGATTTTCAGTCCGTGGACAAAAACCGAAACCCTTCTTTGTACAGCTTGGTTTCGTTGAACTCATTCCCCTCCTCGGTCTCAGCTGCTGAACACAGCTTCTCCTTAAAAGACCCTGGAGTGGGCGTGGCTTGCAGTAGTGGGCGGGACCTCTTTGTTGTAGCTCTGGTAGCGCTTAAAACAGTCCTTTGTGTGTCTCTCATTTCATAAAGTCAAATGTGAAGCTTTACAGCGCGTTAAACTGCTTTAGGATCTTCATGAACACAAAGCTTGCCACTTGATGTGTAGATATTCATGCTGTAAAGGAAAAGCAAATAATTTCATGATTTGTAGATCCTGAGGGGGGCCAGTGATTGTGTCTGAGATGGGAGAAAGCAGGGTCTGCAAACAAAGAGCTGCTGAAGTCCCTCCCTCCTACGAGAGAGAGAGAGAGAGAGAGAGAGAGAGAGAGAGAGAGCAAAGGAAAGGCTGATTTGGCATAATAATAATAATAATGTAAATGTAAATATCTTTAATTGTATAGCACTTTTTCATTTGGAGTTCAAAATCTCAAACTGCTTAAAAGATTTAAGCAAGTACACTTAAGCATAAGTAAATCATGATCTAAGTAACCAGTGAGAATGACTACACATCATGACAAATACTGTATATTAAATACAACAAAGGACCCTAGAGCTCCTGAAAGGCCAGGCTAAACAAAGATTTTTTTTGAACTGGTAATATAAAATTTATGTTAAACCAAATAAACAAGACATACTACAAAAGGTTAATAAGCATGTTTTAAATATGTATCCCAACCAGAAATGACTTCTGTACACAGTGACCTTTTATGCAAGTGAGTCACTACCAGTGACATCAGACAGAGAGAAGTAAGAATAAGCTTTTCTTTGCAGAAGATGACAAAAATGTTTTCATGGGAACAAGGACAATTGAGTAAAAAATAAAACATGGTGGGTTGTGCTGTAATAGGAAAACAGTCAACGCCAGGGCGGTGTGATGTGGCCCAACATGAAGGCCGACTGCAAAGTGCAAAGAAGACTTTAGCTGTAGCGGATAACTTATAGGAACAGCTTTACCTCAAAGTGCTGACACTGGAGAACCCTTACATACTGTAAATATCTGTTACATGAAGAGTATTAATATAAACCTTTAATATAAAAATATAAACCTGATTTGACTTGTAGATGGCACTATGGTGGTATTATGGGATTTAATAGTGAAGTGGATCATGATGTTTGTCAAATGATTGTCATAATTATCCCATAAAATTATTTTTATTTTTAATATGTAGTACATATTCAGGTAAAAGATGGTCCTTGGAGGACTAGTAGTTAGGCCACGGCTCTCACCGCCGTGGCCTGGGTTCGATTCCCGGCCAGGGGACCAACTCCAGCCACTGGGGTTGCACGCGACAGTGCACTTCCAGTGCCGGTCTCAAGCCTGGATAAAACTGGGGAGGGTTGCATCAGGAAGGGCATAAAAACTGTGCCAAATCAAAAATGCGGACCAATGATCTGCTGTGGCGTCCCTTAACGGGAACAGCCGAAAGAAGAACAACAACATATTCAGGCAAAACATCTTTGTCCAAGAAGGGGAAGCTCTGTTTAGCAATCATTCCTTCAAAGCAAATACTTACATGTTTAGATAATGTGTGAGAGTTCTGTATCAGCTCTCAAATGAACAGTTTTAACTACAGAATAGGAAATAATTGTCTATTTGTTTACTTGTACAATAATTGTCTATTAGTTGATATGTACATATGTAAAATACTGAGATGAAATGTCAGAGACTAACAATCTCACAATGCCATCAAACCACCATAGAAAAAGTGTGTAGCCCTACAATGCTGAGGTCTATAGTGGAACATAGGGACTGAACAACATTAAAAATGTTATATACACATGTCCTTAAAACCTTTGGCCAAAAATGGCTTTAGAAAAACTCCAGTCAAGGAAAAGGGAGAGCTCAGATGAATTCCCACTCAGCTGACAGCTGCTCTCTGTACTCAGAGAAAAAACAGATATAACGGTTTACCTGCCTTGGTTATTCTTTCTTTTGCTTTTTCCCCCAGATAATCTTGCCTATCCGAGCCCTTGTTTTCTGTTGGATTGTAAGGATCATTTTCAATTAATCAGGCATTGTATCATGGGTGTAATCGGATAAGTAAATGGGCTGATTCAATTCTAGTCTATGAATAGATTTAAAAGCTAAATTTGAAAATCTTAGTAGAACAAATCTATTAGACTGGTACACGTCTGTAACAATTTCTGCATGAGCATTAAAGCGAATTTAAATTACAATCCCATTTTTCAAGATCACATAAAGAAAATGCAGACCATGCAATGCTAAATAAACAAGGTGATATTTGTTTTGAATATGACCCAAGCCTGAATGACCTACATTTTTACCATGTGCAGGCATGTTTTCATGACATGTGGACGTGCCATGTTTATTTGGAGCTTAGTGATGGAAACAAGATCCCTAAAAGATCATTTAATACCGTACTAGAAACTCCATCCATTACGACAGCAGATCGTCATACCGAATGCCAACTGGCCGGATGATGCCTTGGAAATGGCAGGCTACCTCAGACTTCACCCTTGTTATTACTGGAGCTTAAAGGACATAAACAAGCAGAGAATTGGGCAGTACTATAAAGAGGTTTAATGCCAAAATATTCTGACTTCTTGCTTTAATGCTGTTCAAAAATGTCTGATGTAGAAAGGTACTCCAGAGCTAGTGCTTGGAAATCTTTCCTAAATTAATTATCTTTTTATGGGTATCAATATACCTGATGTAGGTTTGCATGGTTAGGTTTCAGATTACTGCACCACAACTACATCTGTATCGTCAAGTGCCTCACATTTGCTTTGTTTTCACTGGACAGAAGCTCCTGAGCTCTGTGTATGTATGAAGGCTCCAGTCCACAGGCTGCTTTCATTGGTCCTGATGGCAAAGTCCAATTGTTATCATAAATAGATAATATATCATGTTGTTATCCCTTAGTGAGTGTCTCTAGGAACTTAAGGGCTCTTTTGTATTGCATAAAGTACTAGAAGATTTGGCAACAGAAACCTGGAACTGTGCTTTGTTCCACTGACCACCAGAACACAACCGATGGTTCCAGTTATATGCGTTTTCGTACCTGCTCAAGTAAGGCCCAAGCAGGAAGTAATGTAACTCATGGCAACCTAATATATACAGAGACATTAAAAAAAATCAAAAGACTTTGTTTGAAAATGGAGCCAAAGCACTAATTTGATTTCAGGTGTGTTAATCTAATGGTCAACCAGGCGAGAGAACAAAGTTCATCCAAACGCTTCTTTCATGTTGGTCTTATCAATAGTGTAAACACACCATTCCACTGGAATTTGGGCCAATACTTGTATTCAAACAAGATAGTGGAAAAAAAATCCTTAAGTCAGTGGTCAAAAGTCTGGTAGATTTCTATTGTCATTGAATCCATATACACACATGCAGTGGTATAAAATAGCATTCTTACAGGACCATTGTGCAGCATCACAGACAGAGGCTCTGTAAATAAAATACTGTACATAAAAAATTGTTACGTGTAAGAAAAGTGATGCATAAAATCACAGGTTCAGTAGAGCATACATATCCAGAATGAGTCCGGATTAGAATGTATCAAGTTGCTCTAGAGATTATTGATGGGAATTACTGTTAGGTAAAGCAGTCAGACAGAAAATCCCCACAATGTTGTATAGGGAGTATTTAAAGGCTGGGAATTCTTGGGTGGGTGTTGGTGGAGCTGCAGGGGCGAGGCTCAGGGTTGGGGGAGGAAGTATGTGTTTGTGTGTGAGAGAGCGTGTCCGAGAGAGAGAGCGAGAGAGAGAGGGCAGGGAGTGCAAGTTGGATGTGTGCCAACACATTGCCTATGTGCAGGGCTTGATAACAAACATGTCATCTCTTTTTGGTTGTGGACGGAAAAAATGCAGTGGCAGCATGGGTAGGGTGTCTGAGGAAGAAAAATGGTAACTCTAAGCCATGTGTTGAGATAGGTGGGTTTTTTTTTAATGTAGGTCAAGCAGAAACAGTGGGTGGGCTTTCTTTAAAAAGCAGTGATGTCACATGCTTTTCAGGATATGTAGCCTAAACGTCCCTTCCACAGGAAACAGCAAAAAGATAATGCAGGGTATTTTTGAAAGTGGTACTTATTTTAAACATGTACAGTTTAACAGGCTGTCTGCACAAGCTGAAAGAGCCGAAGTGAGATCATGCCTATTCAGCATTATTAACAAAGCTGAGTCGCGAAGAGTTTCTGAGGCCTGAGCAGAGGCCAATGAGTGCAACTCAGAGCTAGCAGTCTGCTCCACACCCAACAGCCCACAAAGCCAGGAGAGAGGAAACTTTACAGAGCTCTGTTAACTCGCACACGACTGAATGTGAACCACAGCCCCAAAACGGAGACATGCACTGACTGACACTGACATGTGTTTATCAGCAGAAGAATGCAGACAGTTATCAAGGCATAAATAAAATACATGAGTTAAATATAACTTTCTATGACTATAAATACCACAAACATGTATTGCTGCTAAGTCAATACCATTGCAATTAATAATCATTGAATTCGAATGGAATGTGAAAAGCACATAAAACATGTTTTAAAAAACAGCCAACCATAGTTTACAAAAAGGTGAATAGGCAAGGAGTGGTGTGGAATTTTGTGGCAAGAGCAGTTCTGGTTTCACCAACCAACCCCCACTTCCTGCAGAAGAAGAGAAAAACAGTGAAGAAAAAGAAAACATACTATGATGATTAATAACACTTATAGCACTCCATGAAACTAATAAACTAATATTCAACTGATTAATATTAAGTTGGTTAATTAAACTTTTTGTATAAATTCTAGTTATTGAAAATGGCATATAAAACATTTTTACTACAGCACATGGAGTCGTCTTGATAAAAATGAACAGACAATTATATTTCAGCAAACTGTTCTCTAAAGTGAACTCTTCTCTGAAGAGTGTCTTCATGGTGAAATTTATTCTTTTAAAAATTATCCTATACATTTGCAGCATCTAGCATTAAAAAATTCCTTTAGTTTTCACAGTCCCACATCATCACAGGTCCCCCACCACACTTAACAGTGGGGATTAGGTTCTTTTCTGTATAACCATTCTCCATTTTACTCCAGCCCAACTTGAATGTTTCCAAACAGCTATCTTGTTGTCATCTGACCATAAACTCCAGTTTTGGTCAAAGTTTGCTAGTGTCTCACAAACTCCTGGCACTTGTTAGTGGTTAGGTGAAAGAAATAGTCTCTCTTGGCACGTCTTCCAAATAATTTGTTGGCATGGAGATGGTGTTTAACTGTAGATTTGGAGAGCCCACAATGCTACATCTTCCACATGTTTATGATTAACTCAGGGAACGTGACCTCTGTGTCACACCATATTTATACCCCAGTGAAACAGGAAGCCATGGATACCCACTTAGACCTCTTAAACACTCATGTGAGCAAGAAGTAAAATCTAAATTGGAACAGGCTTCAGTTATATTTTGTTCAGAGGAATTTCTAGGGGTGCCGATAATTGTGACATTCTAAAAATATACATTTATTATCATATTTTCAGTGTGAGATTAAGATAATTAATTACAAGAACTTTTTTTTCCATAATATATTTACTCATCTCTACCAAGGATGCCAATAATTCTGGAACTGTGTGTTGATTTTAATCATAAACCTACTGCAAACAGCTATCATACCTCATAATCACCTATAATCATTCATTTTTTTCTCTGTATTAGGCTATTATATGGGTGTTTCCCCCCCCCCCCCCCCCCCCCC